TCTGGACACATTCCTGGTACATGGAATCCTGGGAATATGTATATCATGGTCATGTTCTTTCTTCTGCAGGTGACAGGGGGAAGCAGAGACCGGTCACAGAGGAAAGAAGTGAAGAACAGTGCTTTGCCTTCAGAGCAAGAAGAACAGGTAAGAAAAAGATGGATGGGAGGAGGAGGATGAAGGATTGGGGATGGAGTCTGATCTGAGGGAGGAATTTGTACTTTGTGGACTGAAGTGAGTTTAGCAGCAAAACTATACAGCTCTTGCCGAGAGCATGACTGAGGTTTGGGAAGGGAGAGATCATTCTATAAGTGATGTTATGAGAACTCAGGAATCCTACTTGCTGTTTCACCTGTCACTTTGCTTCCTGTTTGCCTGATCAGCTATCTCAGGTGTTTGTCTGTCCCTGAATAATTTGTTCCTGCCTCTCTCACCATCACTTGAGAAGCAAGACCGCTGTTAAGAAGCCCACCTGGACGCTCACATTAGCTTTGTTTTTCTGCCAGCTCTTAAAGGTAAAGCATATTATTTGCATATTATTTGCATGGGGTGCGTTGTTCTCTGGTTTGTGAGTTCCCTCTGAGATGATCAGAAAGAAGGTGATGGGTCAGGACAAAAAGAAATGTTGATCCAACAACAAAGTTTTAATTAAGAAAAGAAAAAAAGAAAAGAAAGGTAAGAGCCTGGCTAGTGTGGCATAGCTATTTAGCTTCAACTGAGGAACCAGGAGAACACAGTTCGATTCCCTGTCAGGGCACATGCCCAGGTTACAGTCTTGATCCCCAGTAGAAGGTGTGCAGGAGACAATCAATACATGATTCCCTGTCATCATTGATCTTTTTTTCTCTTTCTCTACCTCTCACTTCCTCTCTGAAATCAGTAAAACTATATGAAAAAAAACGAAAGAATAGTCATGGCACAGTAAAGGAGAGCATTGAGTCAATGCAATTCTATATAATAAAATGCTAATATGCAAATCAACCCAATGGCAGAACACCTGGTTGCTATGACACACACTGAACACCGGGGGCAGATGCTCATGTCAGGAGCTCTCCACTGGTGGTCAGTGCACTCCCACAGGGGGAGCACCACTCAGCCAAAATCCAGGCTCACAGCTGCCGAGCACAGGGGTTGGTGGGAGCCTCCACAGCAGCACTAAAGTGGGCCTAAGCCTTCAGTTGGACAATCTCATGGGGTCCCAGACTGTGAGAGGCTGCAGGACTGACTGAGGGAAACCCCCCAAGTGCATGAATTTTGTGTACCGAGCCTCTAGTAATATTACAATAACTGTGTGTGGTTTCAGATGGGTATGAGATTAATTTCATGATGCCTTCGTCCATTATACCATGTCTAATCATTGGGGTGTAGCCCTGAAATGAACCTAATGTTCTATGATAACTGTCATTTAAAAAATGTTTTAAAAATTCTATAGGACCATGTTACCTTCACAGAGACATATTTTACTTCAAGTATGTTTTGTACAGTTTGCTCTAGAAGAGAGATCTAAAGCTAAAAAGAAAGAAAAGTTGATATTTATAAGTTTGCAAAATAAAACAAAGGCAACCACAAACACACCAAAAAAAACCATAAAGATAAAAGCCGAGGTAAAATGCGTTTGGAGACTCGATCCCCTCTCTTTCCATACCAGGACCGAAGTAGCGAGAGGCTCTGAGAAGCTGTGGCTGTTCCTCTTTGGACCACGGAGGGGTCATGGCTGAGCTCCCATCAAAGGTGCACCTCTACTCACACCCCATCTGCCTGAGGATCCATGGGCCCTGGGTGTACGAGGACGAGAACCAGCGCACCTGGCTGCCTCTCTTCACGGAAACAGGGGGTGTCCTGCAAGTACTGTTGCGCCAGGAAGACAACCCCGTTGGGCATATGGCAACCACCAAAAGCCGGCTCACCTCGAGCATCATGCCTTTGATGTGGACGCTCCACTCTGGAAGCCAGTATGAGGACCACATGCACCGGTTCTGGCGCATTGTGCACCACGTCAATGTGGATGGAGTGGAGGAAATGATCCTTGAGCTGATGGAAGATGCCTAGGACAAGTGATGGGGTCCCTGGCTCTTGTCAACCTGAGCTCCAGTACTGCTGGCCCGCCGGTGGGACGTCTATAGTTCTATTAACCTTTTTACTAAGCTCTGTTGTTCTATCTGCCACCCCCTGGGTGCGAGGGCACATTGATGTCTCTCTCTCGTACCCACGTGCGAGAGTTCTCTTTCTTCCTCCTCCTCTTCTTCTTCTTCTTCTTCTTCTTCTTCTCCTTCTTCTTCTCCTTTCTCTGTCTCTCTGTCTCTCTCTGTCTCTCTCCCTCTCACTCAAATCAATAAAAGCATTTTGAGCCAAGCTGGTGTTTCTCAGTGGTTGAAGGACGACCTATGAACCTGGAGGTCACGGTTCGATTCCTGTTACGGGCACATACAAGAGTTTACCAATGAGCCCTAGCTAGTTTGGCTCGGTGGATAGAGGGTTGGACTGTGAACTCTGGAAGACCCCAGGTTCAATTCTGGTCCAGGGCACATGCTCTGGTTGTGGGCTCGATTCCCAGTAGGGGGCGTGCAGGAAGCACCCGATGTATGCTTCTCTCTCATCATTGATGTTTCTCACTACCTTCCTGTATGAAATCAATCCCATATAGTAAAAGCCTAATATGCTAAGTGTCCAGTTGACTGGTCATCCATTCAACCAATCAAAGCATAATATGGAAATGATATACTAAGGTTGCTCAACTGCTCCCTAGGACATTCATTGACCACCAGGGGCAAGACATTCAGACTGGTAGGTCAGCCTGCTGCTGGGGTCTGGCTGATCTGGACTGAGTGAGACATGCTGGACACGCCCTGGAGCCCTCCCATGGTCCCTCCCCAGCTGGCCAATCCCTGGTTCCTCCCCAGACCTAATGGGGCACCAGTGGATTGCCTTGGACTGGCCTGTGCCCTCTCACAATCTGGGACCCCTTGGGGGATGTCAGAGACCCACTTTCAGCCAATCCCTGCAGGCCAGGCCAAGGCACCACACTGGTGCTCGAATTGGGGCACCGGGCCTCTAGTAAAAATATATTAAACAAAGAAAGACAAAGAAAAAGACCTTAAGCTTGAAAATATTAGCCCAGCTCCGGCAGGCAAGGCTCAAAGGCATCACTGGAAATAGTTTTCATTTCAATGACCAGCGTTCTCATTGTTTGATCTACTGAGGTTCGTCAACCGATACTACCCTCTCCAAAAAAAGAACGAATGTTAGGGTTGTTATGGGTGTTTTATGCTAATCATCTCTTTCCTGTGAGGAATTTCGAGGGATGCCAGGGCTCCTCTCCTGAGGGCTCGAGTCGTGGCTGTATATGGCTTACCATCAAGCTCTGGATGCATTTTGGTTTTTAGTTGTTATTAGCACTAAACAGCCCCAAACAAAGCCCAGCGATGATAAATTTCATCTAGCGTTGCACCAGAGACTGGCAGCTGGAGAGGGAGCTGGAGGGAGCCCCAGAAATCAATTTCAGGGCATGCATGGTTGCATTAAAGATATCACTGACTGCTGATTAAATTCTTCTCTTGCAGGAAAGTGTTTGCAAATGCAAATTGAGACCTTTAAGGCTGAGGACTGGGGAGCGTGAGGGATGTGTTTCTAAGGTGTGTTTCTGATATTCAAAATATTGCACTTCGGGCCCAGTCAGCGTGGTTCAGTGGCTGAGTGTGGACCTATCAACCAGGAGGTCACGGTTTGATTCCCAGTCAAGGGCTCATGCCCGGGTTGCGGGCTCGATCGCCAGTAGGGGGCATGTGGGAGGCGGCCGATCCATGATTCTCTCTCATCATGGATGTTTCTCTCCCTTTTGCTTTCCTTCCTCTCTGTGTCAATAAAAACATTTAAAAAATATTAAGCAAGTGTTGTATTCAGATGAAATGCACATTGTTCGCAAATAGTATATATTGTTTTGGTTTAACATACCAGGTGGGTAGTCATTTAAAGATTATCTATAGCCCGAACTGGTTTAGGTCAGAGGATAGAGTGTCGGCCTTTTTTTTCATATATATTTTCATTGATTTCAGAGAGGAAGGGAGAGGGAGAGAGTTAGAAACATCCATGATGAGAGAATCATGGATAGGCTGCCTCCTGCATGTCCCTCACTGGGGATCAAGCCCACTACCTGGGCATGTGCCCTTGACTTATCATCAAACCAGGGACCCTTAAGTTCCCAGTCCGACACTCTATCCACTGAGCTAAACCTTCTAGGGTCTATTTGACTTTTTCAAAGGGAGGAAAAGCCTTGAAGAACAAAGCATCTAAGCATTCATGTCACAGTAATTACATGATTTCATGTAATTCATGAGAATTACAACTCACCTCACCATTCTTTCCACATTGTTCCTGTAAATGCAGACTATGACTAAAAATGAATCATGTAGATAAACAGCATGTTTGTATAAGAATCCTAGGAACTAATTTTACAAGATATCAACTCTGACCTTCCCAGTTCTGGGAGATTTGATGACCTTCAACCTTAGAACCAGGAGGAGAAAGTCTAGGATGACGCACACTGGACCGTCACCTGACCCCTTCAAGATCCTTATCAGATTGGACTGTGCCTCTCGGCATGTAGAGAACTTCTCAAGCCCCGCCCCCTGACCTCTTTGCTCTGTTTGGCCTCTCCTTCCTTATAAAAGACTCTGCCTGCACTGAGATGTGCAGATGGGTTTTGGAACAAGCTTCCCCCATCTTCTCAGGTTGCCGGCACTTTAATAAATCTCTTTCCTTCCTCACCACCACCTGTCTCA